GGCGAATGAGTGGTCCGCGACAGCCGCGTGCGGCGAATCGATTACCCAAAATCGTTCCTAACGCCGGTCTCCCGGGATGGAGTAGCGGCAAGTGGCCCAATATAACCCACGCAAGATTTGTGAAAAAAAAACTAAATGGAAAAAACTGAATGGAATTCGAATGTGGGGGGGGGGGCATCCCAAAAAATAGGGTCGGGTAAATGCCAAACATTTTATCCTTTATTCTTTCCTCAACTTGAGGATTTTTAATAATAGGCAGACTTAATGTTCGGAACTCCGGGATCCAATGACACTATAAGTAGTAATGTATGTATGTGTGGTCAGAAGTATGTCAAGGGTATCCCATATATGGTAAGTCTCACACGACGGATTACATCAAAGGATCTTATTCGGCTGTCTGGGAAACTGGTATTTATGCAAGGGCTATTATAAGTTCTCTGCCAAGTTTGAATTTGACAAAAAGAACAGATTTCGGCATCGCATTCGTGTAAACAAGGTCATTGAATTTACGGTAAGGTGGTAGAGAAATTGCAGAACTTTCTTGAACAAGCTATTTCACCTCTCGACACCACCCACAGAAAAACATGTAGAACCCTTTTTCAGATTATCCTTTCGGGTGGCCATCGTTCAATTGTAAGGTTCCTACTCAGGCTCCTGAATCACCAACAGATGCTCAACACCTATCGCCGTGGGATTTTGGTGTCATTGGAGCGATCGGAGACTCACTTACAGTAAGCTTTAGGTAGCACTGCTTTTAAAATTATCGATATATGCGGGCCACATTGGTTTCAAGGAGTAAAAATTAAGATAAATCTCCTATGCCCTGGAGACTCAAGGTTCGGAACCAACAGATGCGCTATGTAGAGGGTAGCTGCTACCATACTTCAGGCGAGAGACCGAACCCCAATCAACATTTACCCAGATCAACCCTGTCAGCTATCCCTTCGGTTCTTCAATATTCCATGATTGATAATTGGTTAAGGAGAAAAACAACTAACTTGTTCATCTCCTTCATTTACAACTGACTGAAAAGTTCTGTTTTGCATTCAAACGTCCCCACGATTTTGACCAGATGTCGAATGCATGGATGACTTTCAATAAGAACGACCAGCCCCGAGAAATTGCCTGTTTACTTTTCTTACTTTTTACAGCTGAATACCTACTGGATTGTAACCTGCAGCGGTAAACATAGTTGGTTATAGGCTGGGCGAGCTGCTGGTGCTGAGTTGATCGATGAACTTGGATCTGATTATCGAGGATTATCATTTGTCACTGGTGGTCAACACAACCTCAGTACTCAAGCGACGTTATTCAGTACGACATTACTAGTATTTATTGGATCATTTTAGAAAGAACTGTTTTTTCAAATCGATGGAAGATTGGATATCTTCGAGCTTTTGAATCACATTACTCCAAACCTGTTCAGAACTGCAGTGAACAGCTAGAGTGCCTGAGACCATCGCCCTCATGAAAATCGGTCATCTTTGACTCCAAGACTTAAAGGGTAACCAAGGCCGTTACTTAAAATTGTTTCCAAGGGGGAGGATAGGTTTGATAGATTACGTCCAAAAAGAGTGAGAAGTTCTTTTTTTCTAGTAAGGGCAAATGGCTCAAAGAGAGGCTTATTGACCAGACTGATGGAACAGAATTGCAGATAGTGAGGGATTACATTCTTCAGCGATTACACTTCATACAGTAAGAACTGTATTGGTTCTTCATTGAATAGCGATAGGTTAGAAACCATATCACTCATGAAATGGCCACGCTGAATCAAACTCCGTGAATATTAGGCAATTGAATTATTCATCGTGAAATTAAGCTCCCTGATTCAATTCTGTGAGTAAACAGACCCTTTCAGATATATTCCGCTACTTCTCGCCTCATCTCAAGAGTTCCAGCAAAGGGACATCAGAAAGCGACGACCCACTTGTTGCCGGATTCAATTTGGCCGTTTCAGGAAGTTTTGCCAGCGACTTACCGATCCAGGTTCGGTCACTTGTATTGAGTTTTCGTGAGACTTCGAGAAGGTCATATAATCAATGTTGTTTACACTTTTTTCATCAGCAAACGATTTTTCCAAGTTGGTGTCTTCAATTGGTGGTGAGACATTTGAAAACAAGCTGAAGGTTGTGGAAACAATATCTTTATAGGCAAAAGAGCTGGTCAACAGGATCAAATCCCATCCCGATGTTGATTTTGACAATGAATGGAAGTTCATAAATGTATTCATCGGCTCAAATGACTTATGCAAAGTCTGCACTAACAAGGTAAGTCTCGAAGCAGTCATAAATCCTTTCCGAGCCACAAATACAGATGTTACAGTAATTCTTTCAGACGGAATTCGGTGCAGAACAATTTTCGGACAATCTTATCACGACTATACGGTATTTGAGAGACAATCTTCCATTGACGTTCGTTAACCTTGTTCCTCCATTTCATGTTGAAATACTTCGCCAAACTCAGTCCGGCAATCCATTTTGTGTCCTGGTTCAGAAGTATGCACTGAATTTATTTTATTTATGTTATTTTTTATTTTTCATACTTCCGGTAAGGAAATTCCTCTAGGCATCCGAACAGGTAGCTCGGTAGCCTAGTGATCTTAAAAAAAGTAAAACATCATGTTGAGAACCGGTTGAGTCACAAACTCAAAGGCATTTTTGTGGCGTTGCCCACCGAAACTGAAAATTACAAGTCGTAATACAGAGTAAGGCGGAATCCGAAGCATTTCCCCCTGTGAACCACACTTGTCAATTTTCAAACCTTCTTACCGGTTCGTTTTCAGCATGTCGTGCCCGTGCATATTTGGCTCACCGAATGAAGATTTCGACGATATAAAGCTTGCTTTCGACAAAACCCTTGAAGTCTTTAACAGTTCCGAATTCCAAACGGACACATTCGCCGTCGTCGTCTCATCAGGAATAAATGTGGATCAGTTGGCTACGCTGGGGGTAAGGTTTAAAATATGTATTTTGCAGAAAGATGATAAGATCGCAAGTGTCAACTGCGCGCAGACGCGATGCTGTCCCGATCGGTTGAAAATCAATACGCTGCAGGTCGCGCCGCAGCCGCTCGCGAGAGAATGGTTTCAGGAAACTGACTTCTGGATATCTATTGCTTCTGAAAATTTTCCAGGATTCGATTAACCTCGCTTTCGTCGCTCTCGATTGTTTCCATTTTTCACAAATGGCTCACGATATAGTGGCGAAAATTCTATGGAACGATCTTTTCACGCCGGTGAATAACCGGACACCGGTAGAATGGGACACGTTCAAGCCACAGTCATGGGTTTGCCCTCCCGAGGTGAGTCTTCATATTCATTGTTTTTGCTTCGGATTTGTTCGTGGCCTCCAAAGCCTGCCATGGGGTCAGGTATTTCAGAAAAGCCTAAACACTCATCTAACATCCGCGGTGGAGATAGTGTAGCTTCATAAAGCGCACTATCTCATGCCGATTCGGTGGATCGAACCCAGGCTCGATACCCGCCTAGGTCATCCAAGTGTTCCGCCCTTCCGTGGTCGTACTGGTACGGAGGGAAAAGTACCGACTTATACTTTGACTAGCCACAACAAGTCATTGTGTAGGCTTTCCCAATCAGACCGCCACTATAATTCTGAATAAAAGTCGAATGAGGGAGCCCTAATCCTAAAATGGAGACTATTACACTGAGGAATTTCACAGCTTTTCTATCTTCTAACACCCAGGACATGGCATCTTCTCAAATAAATGAAAATCGCTTGCAATTTTTCCATATTTAGGACTGCCCATATTTAAAAACTCCAGTGAATTCGGAGAATTGTTCATGTCCACACATGCAAAAGCAAAAACACAAGCAGAACCTGACGCTAGTAACCCCGATGAAAAAAATTAATGTCAAGGTCGATGGAACTGTAAGTTTTCATTTGTCTACATTTTTCTCCTTCTTCCCTTAGCCAACTTTAAAGACAATTTCTCTTACCTAATTTTCATTGCAGATACCGATACCCTCATTAGACGAACTCGAGAGGCGAGCCTTCATGGAAGAGCACGGTCTCATGTTTTTCATTGTCGTTCTTGGTGAGGATCGTTCTCCCTTAATACTTTCCGTTGGCTTTTCTTCATACCGTGTTCTAAATAACCATAAATAAGTTATAACAGTAATAATTATACTCTTATGAAAGTACTTATACTTATACATTTTTAATATAATATATCAAATACAATATTGCATGTAGCAATTGATAGACCTTTCTCTTGCTGCTCCGTACAGCTTTCCGTTTACTTTCGGTACGAACACCAAAGTGCCACCAGATGGGAGGAGCGTTCTAGTGAAGTGAAGAGGTGGGAGGAGCGTTCTAGTAAAGGGCGGAGCTTATCACGAAAATTCTAGCTCATGCTTAAGATGAAATCAGTTATGACAAACTCGGTGTTCATGGAAAAATGAAGAGTCAGTTACAATTCATTGTAAAGCAGAGAATCATTTCTTGCTTCTGAAATCTTTTGATCGTTATCGCCAAAGAAGACAGAGAAATGGCTGGGAATTTCTGAAATCCAAAGTGATTTTCGATTTTCAGCTATGTTGGTGTTACTTGTGGCGGCATGTCTGACAATGATCCGATGCTGTAGGAAGACACCAAGGCGGTACTATCCGGACGAATACACCCGCCTCTTGGATCCGAAGTACAAACAGCAACAGCAACTTTTCTAATCGTCGTGGATCAAAGCTGATCAAAGTTTGGCCATGTTGGCCTTATGTAGTTACTTATACGGTGCTGTTGTAGATGTTTTTGAACCAAAAATTCAAGTCCACCATGCTATTTTTCGTGTTCATGCGACAGAATAAAAATCTTCCCTGAACTGGTCAGTTACTCTACTTAGAGACTACACGTTTCGTGTTACTCCCGTACACTTATTGACTACTTCGCATTCCGAGGCTACTATAATACTGGAAGAAAATCACAAAGAGCAAAAGTTAAGAAAACTTTTGATGAGAATAAATAAGACCCGCTGTGAAAAGTTTGCAATCCTATGCAGATTTTTCGAACCCCGAGGTGGGGGACTTCCTGTGGGCGCCCACGATACAATCTCGTTCGATAAGAATCAACAAGTCATTGGTTATTAATGCCTATTCTAGTTATATTCTAGTTTCTACTTACGATCGGCGTTTTCAACGTTCTCGGCCGTTATTTTTCCCAGTACTTCAGAGGGTTGAGCCTTGACTGCTCAGATTCCCAGGTTATTCCTTATGGTTTCCACGAATTCTTCACTTTGCTGAGTCTCTTTAGCAGCTGCCAGTTTCATGAGGATGGAAAAATAAGTGACTTTTGTAATGAATTGTAAGGCTCGGCTAGGCTGGGCTAGTATCGATCCGAGATTCGGTCACCGGAAAACGCCTTTGTGATAGTGTGCCAATTACCTCTACATAACCTCCTCCCTCATCGTGAAGACTCCAAAGATGGACCTGAGAAGTCGTCAAACGATTTTTTACCCTTCAGTGATTACTCACAATTAATTGGTATCCGACGGAAGGAGGGGGTTGAGTTGCCTGCCTGCAAAGTTTGGTAAGATTCAGGACACGTCCGTTCGCAGTTTTTATTCAGATAGCACAAAAACTTTTTTCCATCTTTTTTAACTTTCCTTTTTGCAAACGGAAGCTGTTCCTCATAATTTGATCGTAAAAAATAGGTTGCTTGAACCCTTGCTGATCTATCCTTCATACGAATTTCTCGATCCATCTTTATCGATCGCGCGTGCTGAATCTTCGTAACACATTCAATTTACTTATCGTGATGTACATGTCGCTTTACGTGAATGTTTTTCGACGACACCCTCTCCCTCCCTTTCCCATCTTTGCTAAGATAGCTCATAATAGGTGGCATATGCCATATGCAGTGTCGATAGTGCAGAGTACACAGCACTTCGAAATTTACTAGTGAGAATTTAGTAAAGTTAGCTAGTTACTTAGTTATTACTCTTCGTCAAGGGGAAAATAGTTTAGAACAAATGAAGGGTGCTATGATGTAAGGTTGTTATGATTTGTCGTTTTTGTTTTACTCAAGGTGTTTATTTGAAAGCACCCCTGCGCGCATCGAAATAAAATTCAATGAGATTAAGTCTTCTCTGTTGATGAGTTGCCGCCAGCTCTTCTGGGGACTCGAAAGTAATATGATTCGCCTTTCTGATGTATTTATATGGGACTCTCTTTCTTTGAAAATTTACCACTTTTACCAACGACGAAAATGATAGCATTAATTGTCATTCTTTTCAGGCTATGTTTCCTAATTCTCCGATAACTCGTATAATTAAAACTTTGGTGTTTGCACTTCTATTATCGTGTCTGGTTCTTCTAATATTTTCACCAGGTGGGTTTTGATTAAGCTTTTTGGAAGAGTTCAACGCTTCTCTAAAAATTCCAAAGAGCTGAACGATGCACTATGTCAGACACTCATGATACCTTAGGCTAATATGATTAGGTACTCTAGACTTGGAATTTCCATCTCTGTGCGAATCAGTAGCTATCGAAGAAGTACCAAATTCGGCACATCACCCGATGGTATCACATGTACCTCGAGCGCCTCTGAATGATCACATTGGGTCGTAGCTTAGGGTTTTAGGCTCAGGATGGCTATTGGGATGTTTTTATTACTAGAAGGCTGAATGAATTGTTTGATTACATTTCAAAGCTGATAAACCTAAAAGTCTCTTTTTAGTGGCACCTGGAACTTTTGGAGGAACCATGATTTTATGCTCAATAGCATCGTGCTTTTCTGTCTCTTTTGCTATACTCCCAATTCCACCCATTCCCCACCCTTTTTACTGTGACCACCCACTAATATTCTTTTACCTTCTAACAGCAAAAACTTCTACTCTTATTCCTTTGTAAGCATTCACTACCCTCTACAGCCAGTGAACTCCCTCTATCTAGAAAAGAGAATGAAAACTCAAATTCAGAGGGCTCAGAAGGAGAAAAAAACAGTGTTACTGTTCAACCTCTAGAATTTGCTCCCGGTGCATACAGTACTGCTTTTATCCATGATAGCAGAAGATTAGTGAATTAGAAATTAGTGGCTGTTGGAATTATGCCAACAGTTAACATTCCCTTACTTTCAGATAAGAAAAGCTCGGAAACGATAATAGAAGTTGCAACAAATACAAAAAACAATATTTCTATATTCGATACATGCCCATTGACTGTCTACGATCATCTGGATCCTCAATTACGCCAGTTCCACAATCCGCGTTACAATCCAATGGCTGTGAGTCATCTTGTTTTTTCCCTGTTTTGGTAAAACTCAGGAGAAAACTAGTGGTGAACTTCCAAGAGGGTATCGGAAGCCTGCGAAAGAAAGCTATCTCAGTTATAAAAATTACTGCCGCAAAAGAAAAAAGGAAAGTAGGAAAAACACTATAACAGTAAATCACGTGGTACGGGTAATTCACACGGGACGGGCAGTAGGAACGGTTTTGTGTAATCGATTCGCCGCAAGCGGCCATCGCGGACCATTCGTTCGCCGTTGTTACAGCTCTAACGTTCTGTATGAAGAAATTCGATCGTTATTTTCAGAATGATTCTAATGTTATTAGTTCCTTCGTTCCTGAATTTCTTGCTTGCTGCTGCATTCTCCTTCGCGCGCGACGTCTCTCTAGCCATGACGCGACAATTCCGATCCTACTGCACCACACCCGAAATTTACCATTCTAACAGTCATCAGCTAAACCCAAAGGCAAATTGAAGATGTGTCCAACTATGGGCTGATCTGAGGGAGGACTCTCAGCAAAGAGGATCCGCGGTGTAAGCGTAAGATTCAAAATGAGTTCTTTCAGGGATGCACGCCGTATATTCCTCTCACAGTTCTTGAGAATGGAAAGATAAGAGCCACGGAGAAGGCTGAAGGATACGAATGTTCTGCAAGTTACTGTTTTATCGAATCGTTCTCAGTTCCACATAGGTTACGAATGGCCACTTCGAATACGAGCTTGACTGGCCGATATCCAAAACCGCCCAAGCAACTTCCTCCCTGTTTTACTCGTAGAAAACTTGACAGAAGTCCCGGATTCGGCGCTTCACCGAGGGGGCAGGGTGTACGTCGAAGGCTCAAGTTCGTGGGAAACCTTATGAGTTTGACCACTGAGACTGTTTTCTAAGAAGCAACGCGTCATAGTCCTTGGGTAACCAACTTATAGGTGCCTTGCCTCAACTTGAAACAAAACAGAGCTGCACCGAGCTTATTGCTTATGATATCCTCTAAATGAACATTCGGTTTCCGTTCAAAACCACAAAAGCTCTTACACTAAGTTTTGTCTGGACAATGAATTATCTGGACCAAATAAAGAATCAAAGTTACTGGACATGAGGGCCTAACCAAATATGTGGGCCATCCCATTCCCAGTGAACTGCTACCAAGCTCCTATTTTCAAAATATTTTGCACTTTTGAAAAGCGGTGAATACCTCTTTCTTCTTGTTCCCTTCAGTTTAAGAGCAGCTTACTTATTTGTACATGATTACAGGTGCATATACAACGATCATGATACAAAGTATATAGCCGATCCATGGATTATCCTTCCATCAAATGAAACCTTCAAGTGTGACATTGTCGAGTCCCAGTGCAGTAATGGCAACTTCTTCTATGGCAATGAATCATACCTCCATATGCAGATTTATGAAGATGAGTGGGTAATTTTCTTCTCTCATGGGGAAAATGCAACTTCATGGGTTTGGTTACAAACACAGCGTTATTCAACGCTAACGTGGATATTTCAGGGTGCCGAACACAGCAGTGGATGACAGGCCGCACGTCTACATTGTGATCCTTGATGCGGTATCATCATTTATGGCAAAAAGGCGAGTGACTTAATGTTTTCGATTAACTCAATACCCTCTTAGCTACTATAATTTTTCCTCGGTGTCACATTGACACTATTCTAACCCCGACCGATTCTCCTTACCGCTCCCACCAAGTGATTGCTTCCAATGTGTCGTGAAGCAATCTGTCGCCAAAAAAGCTTTTGATGGGGCCTTATCTGCGTTGTACACATACGGAAAGAGCTTCTTGTTCCGCGTGCATTGTTATTATACTAGGCGAGAAAAGAAGTGTAGTGCTTCAGCTCCAGAAATCCGACTTCATACAAACAGGGCGGACGGTATCGAAAAGGAAGCTCTAGTTCCATATCGTCAGTCATATCAACATTACTCTCCTTTTTCCATTCTTGGGCCCAGTTCTCAAACTATTTTTTAGCCCCTTGTACTGTAGTTCGAATGTGGCTCCGATTACCAGGTTCGAGGTTGAGATAAATAAATTTGGTAGCCTGTTAGCTACTTATCCATCCAGTGGTTTATACATACTCCACGGTTCATCGGAAAGAAGTAGTACCTTCATTTTTCTAAGGTTGACCCTCCACTAGTGAAATTACAAATATGTTGGCATAATATTCTAGTCGTAATTTGAGGGCCGATGAAGATTGATGATACAAGCTCGACTGTGTTCTAGAAATTTTTTTAGATCTCTACCTCATACTCTTGCTTATCTGAAAATGGAACATGGTGCTATTCAAATGGAATTTCTGAACAAACTAGGATATAACAGTCGACCCAACGCTATCGCACTGTTCTTCGGTTGGTACATATATCATAAAAATATGTTCAAATTTATAGATTTCTAATAATAAATCAATCAATAAATGAAGAATGATTTATAAATACAAATTATAATGTTTCTGGTACGTGCCGGTCTTTGTTTTCAATAAGCTTCCTGAAAATTTGGCGTGGGTGACTGGTTGTAAGCGAGGGCAGTCGGGGTCTCGAGTATGGGGGACGGAACTTACGTGCGTCCGAGGATGGGCGCGACAAACTGCGCGGCGAAGCGCGTGGGGATTCGAACGACTCTGGCGCCTATCATTGGAGCCCGAATCTGAAGTCGAGTAGATTAATAGTATCAGGTGACCCTACTAAACTACTCTACTTCGAGTTTGGGCCAAAATGAAAGGCGCTAAGGTCGTTCGATTCACCACGCACTTCGCCGCGCGCATCCTCGGACGCACGTAAGTACCCATACCCCTCGAGTATATATGGAAGAAAGAGTACGGTAACTGGAAAGTACAAGTACGGGTTCCACGGGATCAAGTCCCGTTCGAAGTCATAGTTTTGCACACAATCTGCCATCTTTGTAAAAATGTAATTCAACTTTTTCACACAATATTTCATTGTCATGTCATTATGCGAGTTAAAATATTTGATAGTTGACAACGTTCACTTTAAAGTAATCTGTTTAGGCAGAACCGAGGAAGGCGGCAGTCGTGATCTGGTAGGGCAACCGCCCCTCTATTTTGATTGGGATAGTACAAAAATGTGTAAAGAGTACTTGGATGATTTACCATATGAGTTGGAAGAATATCGGAAGCTTGGCTATAAAGTAAGTAGAGTTTTTTGTATCTCGAATTTACTTGATAAAAGTTGTTGCCCACATAGCCGAATCAAAAAAACTGACCTTTTTCACTGTTTTTTATTTAACTATTCGTTTTGCTTCCGTAGGACGAGCTCTCATTATTCATTGAATTGAACTGTTACTCGGCAGTAGTGCAGCGTTTAGACTATGGTGGCTCAAGACTGGTCAGCTGGTTTTGCTTATTATCCCAATTGTTTGGGCTTCAATAGATCTGAAGCGGATCACATGTGGAGGTGAGTAGGTCTGAAGAATTTATGTCTGTAAGTTTTGCATAAATGAATTGAAAAGGAAGAGAGGGAGTAAAGGGATACGCTCAAACTCGATAGCAAACCTTCACTGGTCACCCTTCATTTGCCACCATTTTGCTCCTGCCACCATTTATTCCTCTACCCGATCTCAATACTATTCTGACACAAGCGCCTAATAATTTTTGTTAAGAGATCTAATAACTAGCACCAGTTATCACTATTTCTATCGCCATTTAACATCCCTTATCAGCTCTTATTACCCCTTTGTATGTCATCATCCCCACCTCGATCTGCCGCTACTACATAGTCTCTGCTATGAAAATGAAAGGAGTAACAAGTTCTTTCTACGCCTTTTTTAAATTTTTTTCCAATAAGATCTGTTAGCATAGTTTTTGGTGAGAATTCCGCACCTTCCTTATCACCATTGGTCACCTATAGCTTAGGTCACCAATTTTCCAGTAACATTCCCGTTATATCATCATTATAACAAATGTGAGCTCCAAGAACCAAGTAATAGAACGACAGCATATTAGAACGTGCATTTTTGACATCGTTCTTGTTATGACGAGGGGTGTAATGGCAAGTGGCGCATTACCCCACGCGCGTGGCCGCGAGTTCGCATCCTAGATCGATGTCCGCCCAATCGAACCTGCAATTTCATCCCTTCAGAGTCGGCTAAGTGGTATCAGACCGCCCAGGAAAAAAAGCAGTGCCTTGTACATCGGCTGCCCACCGCAAATCATTGTCTAGGCCCATTCATTACGCCGCAACGAATACGAATGAAAGTCGGGTGTGGTGGCGCATCCCTCAGACGGGATTGATCGAAACCCATAGATTTGACCCTTTATCCTTATTTTTGCTTTGCTTTTACTTCTTGGTAATATGGGCTAGATTCTTTGGACCGAACAACTCCGTAAGTTTTCAGTCAAATACAGTCGGGCCGATTTACCAGTGAGTATGAAGTGTCAAGCTATTTCTAGCCATTCTATTGAGCATTAAAAACAAGGACTAGTTAGATGCGCTATTTTCTGCGAAATGATGAACTTTTCTATTAACTCTCCACAAATCTTTTTGTTTTTGCTGATTTTCTGCGGAAACGAAGCCTATACAAAATACTACACAAAATAATGTTCAATTGGAGGAGAAATTTTTCTCCCATCGGGAAACACTCAGGATTCGCTTGGCTACGTGTTTTATTGTAATTTTCAAAAATTTTTATAGGGCCTTCGAATTACGAATGGGAGAGTCTAGGACGCTTCGAAGGAGTCACATCTGGCACTGTAGTGAGCTACACTTGGAAATGATGGCATATATGGAGAAATTTATGCAGTCATATCCAGGTAACAAATTTCATTGGACAACATCAAAAACAATAGTAGTTTTCAAAGATATATTGATTTTTATAACTTTGGAATGAAAAATGGGTTGACAGATTTCTCACTTCACAACATTCCTTGCTTCTTTCGCCAAGCAGGAATTTAACGACAAATCTCTTCTGAGCTTCATCTCTCAGGACTTTCAGCTATTCGATTAGTTGGGTCCACTTTGAAGTGGAGATTGTTCTTTTTGATTTCCCATTGAAGTATGTAGCAGTGCTTTCCGAGCAATATAACTTAGAAACTCTACTATAAGTAAAAACACATTGCATACGGTACATGCTTTTGATATTTTAAGGAGTTCCAAAAATATGTCATGTATGGCCCGTCAACTTGGCTCACGACTCAATGAAAAATCTCTACCATGCTGATGAACAGTTTTTGAACTTTTTCAAAAGGAACACCAAACACTTGGACGACTCCTTTCTGTTTTTCATGGGCGACCATGGACCGAAAAGTGAGGGGGTACGTGCCCGTTTACCTTTTTATTCTTCATTCGAAATTCAATATTATGGTCCTCTCTAGTTTTCGTGAAGGTCTGATATCGGTGAGACTTAGTAACATGAAAGCTTAAGCTGTTTATCTTGAGTGTAAATGTAAGCCTTACACTGTCGAGGCATCATATCATTTCCTTTCTCGATGACTCCCTTGCAAATTACTGATAAATATAGGGAGAGTCTGACGCCAACGCTGGTCCGCTTACCGCGTGCGGTTATTTCTAGCTAGTTGTCTCATCCCATGGTATGACGCTTGAGAATAACTCCTGTCGCTTCACTCAGCCCATAAGAGGTATAAATACATTACATATGAGTAGTTAAAGGGGTAAATTAGAACTACAAACAGTTGGGATTCTCTGAGTAGGTGAGCAAAGGGGCAGAGAAAAGTGCAGACGGCAAGGAATCAGGTGAAGGTAGAAGCATTAGTCACATAGTGGAGTGCTGTCAAAAAAAGAAACAAAAGAAGAAATCCGTGAAAACATGGTTCTCACTTCTACTAAGAACCACCATAAAGTTTTACTCAGAAATATCATATTTTGCATTTATCCGCGAACCTCTTCAATTAGCTTCGACAAACGTTTACATGAGTGGGATAGAATAAAAGGTATAGTATGGAACAAAGTCATTGTTGAATTTGTACATTCTGTATTCTACCTAGTGAGCACTCAAACTACTTGAGTGATTCTGTTATTTTACAGATCGAAAAGGTACCCCTGGGAGAATACGAGCAGAAGAATCCATTCCTAATGGTTTCGGTTCCAAAACGCTACCGTAATACGCCAATTCATAATCAATTAAAGTTAAAATCAACTCAGCTAATGACTCACTACGATCTCCATGCCACGTTTTTGGATATACTCAAGGTAGGTCCTACACCGAAACTCTGTGAGAGCTCCAATCCCCCTTTAACTTCCATATTTGAGCTCCAACCATCCAGTAATTTCTCGGACACATCGTATCGCGACATGGGAACAATGAGTAAAGGCTCTTCATTACTTCGAGAATGGCGTGGGCCAAGGAACTGTCGGACACTCCCAATCCCATCACACTATTGCATCTGCCAATACAATAAAACGACCATCGAGTAAGCACTTTCACCATTTTTATACTCAATGTTATTTTAGCCATTTACTGGTTTACTTGATTCTTCTATCAGATCTCACTATACAAATTCCACTGTAGGAGTACTACATTTGTAAAATTTCAGTAACGAAGCTATATTGGCCAAAACTGGTCAATTTGTCGCAGAGCAGGTGAATCAGATACTGCGAAAAGCTGGAATACTCGGGTTATGTCGGGTGCAGTCCTACTACTCGGTCAGTGTATTTTTATTGGGGAATTCCAGCTTCGAGTTATTGTATACTTTATCTTTCCATCTT